CTGGGGCGTCATTGAGGAGTTTGAGGCACAGTGATTTGATCAACCAATGGATTTGCGATGGCATCGAACGAGTAGAACATCGTGAGTGGCAATGCGTGCGGCAGTAGTTCATTGAGGTAATTAGGTTTATTGAGTTTGCTATTATAGTTTTTTCGTGCGCTTTCACATAGCCCAAAAGATGACATGCTTACCAGCAAACGCTGTGTCAAGTCAGTCACTGTTGCCCACGAATTCAGACTAAGCTAATTCCCCTAATGTAATTCCATGTTTTGTATTTAATGGCCACTAGGGGGAGCGTGCCGCTACAAATTTTAAATGACACCTGCGGTGAAAGGACGGGCCGTCCGGGGGCACCACTAGTCGAGGCAAGGTATATGGTAGTCCGGCGTGCGCATTGGACGAGCAGGTAGGCGAAATGGTCTAAGGCATTTGGGTAGAAGTTGCGAGGAAAGTTAAAAGCGGAGGACAGTTCCAGGTTGTCGGTGGTGTGTGTCACGGTTAGCCGGTTTGCACGAACTGGCCTCGGAGCTACGTGGCGAGGTCACGCACCTGGCTAGCACGCTGAGCGTGCCCTGAGAGTCAGATGAAACGAAGCTGAAACGAAGCGAAGGAAACGTCGGATGTTTTGCCGATATGATCGTGTAGAAACGCGGTGCGCAAACGAGGACGTGTGTCGTCCATGCTGTACGAAGATAGGACCTGAGTCGTCCCTGCTGTACGAAGAGAGGACGTGAGTCGTTCCAGGACGAAGAAGAAGAAGAAGAAGAAGAAGAAGAAGAAGAAGAAGAAGAAGAAGAAGAAGAAGAAGACGAAGGCAAAGGCGAAGGCGAAGGCGAAGACGAAGGCGAAGGCGAAGACGAAGTCAAAGACGAAGACGGAGAAAGAAAAGAAGAAGAAGAAGAAGAAGGAAAAGAAGAAGAAGAAGAAGAAGAAGACGACGACGACGACGACGACGAAGAGAAAGACAACGAAGAGGAAGACGAAGAAGTAGAAGAAGAAGAAGAAGTCGAAGAGGAAGACGGAGAGGAAGAAGAAGAGGAAGGAGACGAAAGAGGGAGCGCCGTGCACACGTACATTGAGTTATTATTGTTATCGGGTATAATAGTTGTACCGGGGACTATACCGGCTTATCATCGCGTATGTACATGCACGCGAGTATTGTGTTAGTTTTATTACGATACTTATATTTCATACTTATAAATGACGAGTTAGGCGGGGCTATTCCAATGAATTTACTATGAGAGAAAATCGGGACTTTGACTTCCGTGACGACTTATGCGAATTGACGAGTTAGACGTAGTTTTACCCTACTGTTCCTGGTTTTCGTGCACGGCAGCGGCGTGGCGTGCATTACTTGAAAACAACGTCCGGAGTTACACATAACGCAACCTGTAAGTCGGTGGCGCAGAATATGAAATTCATATACCGCGCCACCGACTTACAGGTTCAGAAATACTTCATATTTAGGAATTGTTTACTCGGCTTATGTGGCAGACGTTTTCGCACTTATACAGGCATAAGCACACTGCTTACGCGGCATACAACGACCAAACCGCTATACAAACCACATATGAACAAGCACGTGCACAAAATATGTGGCGAATTTATTTGGTTTAATATTATAAAACCACAGTTTTCGAAACGCATGCTACAACGTCAATAAACAACAGCACTGGGAACAGTCAACAGCAACAGGAACTAGAAGCATTTAACAACAGCACTAGGACACCAACCAATTAGCAGCGTATTCAGAGGTCTTCTTGGTTTGTTTAATTAGTTCCGCGAATAGTTAGTTAGTTCCAACTACAACTACAACTATAGCTACAGCTACAACTACAGCTACAACTACAGCTACAGCTACAACTACAGCTACAGCTACAACTACAGCTACAACTACATCTACAGCTACAGCTACAACCACAGCTACAGCTACAGCTACAACCACAGCTACAGCTACAGCCATACCCACAACTACAGCTACAGCTACAACCACAGCTACAGCTACAGCTACAGCTACAGCTACAGCTACAGCTACAGCTACAGCTACAACTACAGCTACAGCTACAGCCATACCCACAACTACAACTACAGCTACAGCTACAACCACAACTACAGCTACAGCTACAGCTACAACCACAGCTACAGCCATACCCACACTACAACAAAACAAAAAAAATATACAGCCTACAGCTGACAACCACAACTACAGCACAGTTACAGCTACATCTACAGCTACAACTACAGCTACAACCACAGCTACAGCTACAGATACATCTAGCTACAGCTACAGCCATACTCGCAGCTACGTCTACAGCTACAGCTACATCTATACCCTCAGCTACAACTACAGCTACAGCTACAACCACAGCTACAGCTAGCTACATCTAAAGCTACAGCTATAACCATACCCACAGCTACAACCATACCCACAGCCACAGCTACATCTAAAGCTACAGCTACAACCATACCCACAGCCACAGCCACAGCTACAGCTACAACCATACCCACAGTCACAGCCACAGCTACAGCTACAACCATACCCACAACTAGAAACACAGCTCCAGCTAAACCCCTGTCGCTACAACTACCAGTTCAACCGCGGCTGCGTCTTGACGACTCCATCGGTTCGTCGGGCGGCTCGTCTGCGCTCGGACCGAGCGTCAGAATGCGCTCTACCTGCGCGTCATCGCATAACATTTTTAGGGAGTAATATCATAGACTAAAGTATAATAAGACACGACACTTCGATGATTTTTGCGTAACCTGGTTTTAGTGGCGCAACCTCATGTTAGGTGCGTGCTCCTGCTGCAACTCTTATTTTTAACAATAGAAGTTGCTCTGATATCAGTGATTGTTTGCAAATTATATGCAATGAAGTATGCAAATTTCATTGATAATGATTCTCAAAAAAAATTAATAAAAGCCAACAATTATAGTTTAGGATTATATTAAATAATAAAAAAGGAAAAGCCTGGTTTTTATGATTTTATTCATTTATATTTAATCACCAAAATTTGGAAAGACATGCAATATGCAGGTACAACTTCAGTTATAGTAATAAGGTAATATATATATACTATATAGCAACACTAAAAATTTGCAGATCGGATATTACCATGCACACGTGCTACAGGCTTGCCCCTCTCCAGTTTGAACGTATGAGATCGGCAGAAGAATTTTCTCGTGGCGGGATGCTGCGAGAAAAGTGAATTTTGTAAATCAGATTTTACCATGCACACGTGCCATGGCCCCCCCCCCTGCCCAGTTTGATCGTATGAGATCGGCTGAAGCTAATGTACATAGAAATGGCGCTCAGGTCGTTCGTCGTGCTGGACAGCGAGGATATATATATATTCGGCCGATCTCATAATTATACGCTCAAACTGGACAGGGCCTGCCCGCGGCATGTGTGCATGGTTACATCTGATTTACACGATTCACACTGCTCGCAGCACGGCGCCACGATCCTATAACCAACCTAAACACAGCTAGGGAAACATGCGCGCTCCATTGATTTGATTCAAGATGTAGTTTGACAGAAAAAGGTGCTAAAGATACTGCAGCGATTTCTCGTCAGTTATTGCGCTTAACTGAATTGAAGACCGGTAGTGTTATAGCCACTTCCCTTCGCATTTATTCGGATTCTGTACCGAGGCCTTGAAGCTTTTATCGTAACAGTAGCGAAGAGCAACTATTGACATAACAACAAGAACTACGCGGAAAACGGTACAGACTCTGCGTCTCACCAAAGCGAAAGGTTATTTTAATGCGTCATGCGTGTCCACGTATATAGCTGACCATAAACAGTGGAGGTCACATATGACTGACCATGCGTCATGCGTGTCCACGTATGGTCGTTCACCCGCGCAGGGTCGCTTGATGCTGGGCTTACGCTGTCCCGGGAGACATTAGTAGCTGGAGAAATGGTCCTGACGCTCCGCGACCTTTTCTGTACGGTTTGTGGGGCTCAGACGGCTTTTCTTTATCGCTTTTGTTCGACCAGCGGTTACGCTCCCATGCCGAGTATGTGGAGGAAATTCAGACATTGGATGCTGACAATGATAAATATAACTGCAGACACTGATCAGTTCCTTCCGTATATATCTAGCCAGAATGTCGTTATGAATTCCTGGATTACTTGGGATTTTCTAGCTCGGACTCCAATTGTTATCGAATACTATACCAGTATTACTTCATGGCGCATTTTTTGTATGCAAATTTGCCAGCCAACAACACGTTTGCATGCGTACGCGACCCTTTCGGAAAAGTACTCAAGACTAGACACACTCCGTGTGGAAAATGTCATTTTGTGCCTCTGACAGAATGGGATGAGGCGTATGTGCGATTACCTGCGATTCCTGTGCGTCTGGATTGGAGCGGCTATCCGGTTTAAAATCTTGACAATAAAAATAATACTAAACTTCACAATACTAAAAGCAGTCATATTAGTATAACAATCTGTTTAGCTCATATATGGAAAAAAAATCGAGGCGTGTAATTAATTAAACAGCAATTCACTATGCCCTAATCATAACGTCCGTGATTATCATACATCGTAATAGTTTTGTTGTTATCATTGGGTTTTCGATTACAAGTTGGCATGTAACATTTTTAGGGAGTAATAGCATAGACTAAGTATAATAAGACACGACACTTTGGCGATTTTTGCGTAACCTGGTTTTAGTGGCGCAACCTCATGTTATGTGCGTGCTCCTGGTGCAACTCTTATTGTTAACAATAGAAGTTGCTCTGATATCAGTGATTGTTTTTTAAGTATGCAAATTTCATTGATAATGATTCTCAAAAAAATCAATAAAAGCTAACAATTATAGTTTAGGATTATATTAAAAAAGAAAAAAAAGAAAAGAAGCCTGGTTTTTATGATTTTATTCATTTATATTTAATCACCAAAATTTGGAAAGACATGCAATATGCAGGTGCAACTTCAGTTATAGTAATAAGGTAATATATATAATATATATATATATATATATATATATTAGAGCAGCACTAAAATTTTGCAGATCGGATATTACCATGCACATGTGCTGCTAGCTTGCCCGTCACCAGTTTGAACGTATGAGATCGGCAGAAGAAACTTATTCTCGTTGTTCAGGACGACGAATGATGTGAGCGCCATTTTATGTACATTAGCATAGGCAGGGAAACGTGGCGGGATGCTGCGAGAAAAGTGAATTTTGTAGATCCGATTTTACCATGCACACGTGCCATCGGCCCGCCCCTCCCCCGTTTGATCGTATGAGATCGGCTGAAGCTAATGTACATAGAAGTGACGCTCAGGTCGTTCGTCGCGCTGGACAGCGAGGATATATTATTTCTTCGGCCGATCTCATACGCTCAAACTGGACAGGGCCTGCCCGCGGCATGTGTGCATGGTTACATCTGATTTACACGATTCACACTGCTCGCAGCATGGCGCCACGATCCTATAACCAACCTAAACACAGGCAAACATGCGCGCTCCATTGATTTGATTCAAGATGTAGTTCAAATGACAGAAAAAAGTGCTAAAGATACTGCAGCAATTTCTCGTCAGTTATTGCGATTAACTGAATTGAAGACCGGTAGTGTTATAGCCACTTCCCTTCGCATTTATTCGGATTCTGTACCGAGGCCTTGAAGCTTGTATCGTGACAGTAGCGAAGCGCAACTATTGACATAACAACAAGAACTTCGCGGAAACCGGTACAGACTCTGCGTCTCACCAAAGCGAAAGGTTATTTTAATGCGTCATGCGTGTCCACGTATGGTCATTCACCCGCGCAGGGTCGCTTGATGCGGGCGGAACGCGTGTCAGACCGATGTCATGGATAGGAAGACAGATCGCTGGGTCGAACGTCATCGGGTTGGAATCCATAGAGAAGCAGCGCATTTTATAATTTCCAAGTTATGTCGACTGCGAAACCTCGGTAAAATTGTTCAGATTCTGCTGCAATATGTGTGCCCTGAGTGCTTGTTGACTTGAACACCGTAGCATTGCGTACGGACTGCTGTCGTATCGGGCTTGTATAGGTATGTACGGCGTTATGAGGCGTGCAAGGTTGGCTGTGTTGAAGTTGGTAAGCTTACGAACTATATTATGTACAATAATTGTGATTGAATTACTGCATGTCTATATAAGTCATGGCTATAAAAAATATTTGCGATACTCCGAAACATGTAAAAAAGATAGTTTTCACATGGAGGTGACAGTACTCACGTACAATGACCCAGGCTCGCTGTCGCGTCTGCTACAATCACTGGAGAATGCGGAGTACGATCACGACAGCATCACGCTGCACATCTGCATCGATGGAGCGAAGGCTGGTGACGAGCTATCCGGACATCGACAGACCGTGCGGGTGGCCGAACGATTCCAGTTCACGCACGGTGAGAAAGTGTTGACAGTGCGCTCGCGTAACGTCGGCGTAACCGCGCAATGGTTAGACTGCTGGAACCCAGACGACTCTCCCGGCAACTACGGACTGATACTAGAAGACGATCTACGTCTCTCACCGTATTACTACCGGTGGCTGAAAGCCGCCATTATCGCCTACAGCGGTCATCGTGAGGTTGGAGGCGTTACGCTGTCCAGGGAAACATTAGTAGCTGGAGAAAAGGTCCTGACGCTCCGCGACCCCATCTGTACGGTTTGTGAGGATCAGACGGCTTTTCTTTATCGCTTTTCTTCGACCAGCGGTTACGCTCCCATGCCGAGTATGTGGAGGAAATTCAGACATTGGATGCTGACAATGATAAATATAACTGCAGACACTGATCCGTTCCTTCCGTATATATCTAGCCAGAATGTCGTTATGAATTCCTGGATTACTAGGGATTTTCTTGATCGGACTCCAATGACTATTGAATACTACCATTATTACTTCATGGCGGTGCACAACATATTGACATTGTATGCAAATTTGCCAGCCAACAATACGTTTGCATGCGTACGCGAACCTTTCGGAAAAGTACTCAAGACTAGACACACTCCGTGTGGAAAATGTTATTTTGTGCCTCTGACAGAATGGGATGAGGCGTATGTGCGATTACCGCCGATTCCTGTGCGTCTGGATTGGAGCGGGTATCCGGTTTAAAATCTTGACAATAAAAATAATACTAAACTTCACAATACTAAAAGCAGTCATATTAGTATAACAATCTGTTTAGCTCAAATATGGAAAAAAAATCGAGGCATGTAATTAATTAAACAGCAATTCACTATGCCCTAATCATAACGTCCGTGATTATCATACATCGTAATAGTTTTGTTGTTATCGTTGGGTTTTCGATTATAAGTTGGCATGTAACATTTTTAGGGAGTAATATCATAGACTAAGTATAATAAGACACGACACTTCGGTGATTTTTGCGTAACCTGGTTTTAGTGGTGCAACCTCATGTTAGGTGCGTGCTCCTGCTGGAACTCTTATTGTTAGCAATAGAAGTTGCTCTGATATCAGTGATATTTTTTTAATTATTTGCATTTTATTGATAATGATTCTCAAAAAAATTTATAAAAGCTAACAATTATAGTTTAGGATTATACCTGGTTTTTATGATTTTATTCATTTATATTTAATCACTAAAATTTGGAAAGACATGCAATATGCAGGTACAACTTCAGTTACATGCGTCTAAACAGAGGAATTGCTCCGACCTGTGATTGGAGGATAAAAATAGAATTCGTCACGTTTCGTTTCACCGTTCATAGCCACGCGTGTATTAGCCCATGAGCGATACCGCGCGTGCATATTTGCTAATTAATTAGACTAATCATGTTTCAATAGACTCAAAATTCACAGAGATTAAGGCTAAGACATGTGTCTATAACAGCTAGAAATTATAGAAATGTAACACAAATCGTTCGCTCCATATGATAGTTAGTACACGTTCCTACCGGTCATAGCATAATAGTAATAGCGTAGGCGGCGGGAGTGGGCGGGGTCTATTTTTATCCTCCAATCACAGGTCGGAGCAATTTCTCTGTTTAGACGCATGAATGTCTTCAGTTATAGTAATAAAGTAATATATATATATATATATATATATATATATATATATA